CACCCACCCCCACCCCCCACCTCAGGGTAAGATACCAGGACTGCCGCCAGCCGGGGATTGGGAGCGCAGCCTGCATCTGTTCCTAGTTCCTTTGTCCCTCAAGAGGTAGGAATCCCTGCTTTCCGAGTCACCAGCGAGGGCCTCTCCTTCCTCGGGACCGTGTGATCAAGTCAGTGGGTGGCTGCTTCGTTTGTTTCTCTTCGCTTTACATTTTTAGAGATAGCCTTTGCTTTTAACTTTTGTATTTGGGCACAATTTCAGGCTTACAAAGAATTCCTGACGATTTTTCATCTAGTTATTGCTCAAAACGTAAACGTTTGTCCCACCTGTCTGCCTCTCTCTCTTATCTGTCTGCCCATCCTCCCCATCTGCCTGTCCATCCATCCATCTGCACACCCGTCCGTCCATCCAGCCCTCCATCCACCTGCCTGTCTGTACGTTTGAGCTGCCTGTCGGTCACGTGCAGACATGATGCCCTGGGTGTGTGTCCTAAGAGCCCGGCTGTTCTGTTGTCTAACCGTAGCACCGTTATCAGAGATCAGGAAATCACTGATGTACCGTGATCTAGAGTGAGACCTTTCTCGGCCTCACCATGGAGCCAGCCGTGTCCGTTGTGGCAGAAGAAACGTCTGGGTGAGCGGAGTCTGGTCCTCAGCCCTCTCATCTCCTCTCCTGGAGCACAGCCCAGCTTTCCGTGTTTCCTCATGTTGATGCTGGGAGAGGGCGGGTTGGTTACCTTGCAGAACGTCCACCATTTGCATTTGTGTCCTGCTGCCTCTCAGGGAGACAGGCTAGGCAGCTTTGTCCACGGTGTCACCGATGTGGTGGCCTGTTCTCAGTGTATCTTGTTGTGGGTGCTGTCATCCCATTATGCTTGTCGACAGTTCTTTATAAAGTTAAATGTTTTTTGATTGTTTTGGTTTTTTTGGAGACAGGGTCTCACTCTGAAGCCCAGGCTGGCCTCAAACTTGTGGTGATCCTCCTACCTCAGCTTCCCAAGTGCTGGGATTACAGAAGTACAACAGCACATCCAGCTGAAAATTAAATTCTTATAGTTGTCTAAATTGTTTACTGTGGTGTGTACCTATAATCCTAGCTCCCCAGGAGGCTGAGGCAGGAGAATTGCTTGAGCCCGGGAGTTCAAGAACAGTCTGGGCCACTCAGTAAGACCCTGTGTCAAAGATAAATAAATAAATAGAACTGTCCATCTGGTCCCAAAGTCAAGGTATATTCAGAGAACTTGAGTTGCTCTCCCTGTACCCCATCACCTACTCCTTCCCTTCCTCGGTGGACAACCAGTTTTCTTTTAATTTTACATTAATTCCTTCTGCTGAATTTTACGTAGAAGCAGACATGTATATTGTTTCCTATCTTGCCCTACACAGTCCCATCCTCTCCACACTTGCATTACATCCTGGTGGTCACACCAAGATGGTTCCTGGTGACAGTCACACGGCTGTTTACGTCTGTGTCCACAGGGTGCCCATGTCATGGCCTGACCTGCCCACTCCCTGCCTATGGGCAGTGACACTGTCTCCAACCTCTGCTTCGAGAGGTGGTACAGGTGGCTCTTAGCGGGATGTCTCTGCACCTTGAGGACATGGGTGGGACTTTAGCTGTATCCAAGCATGACGCTGTGGACGGAGCGGGAGCTGGTGGGTGGAGGTGGGGTACAAAGAGCCCATGAGAGGTGGCACCTGCCCAACAGAGCCTGTGCCTGCACCCAGGGGTGCGTGCTATGTGGGCAAGGGTGTTATGTAATTTTGGGAGCCACGCGTGTGTTCCGCCTGTCACTGGGCCTGCACCAGGTGCTGGTTTGGCTGTGTTTGTTGTCCTGGTCTGTAGGAGGGAGTGTGGGCCTCGGGTGTGGAGGGAGCACAGGTCTGACCAGAGACCCAGGCATCTGGTCCACACCCCACCCCTCGTGAGCGTTAGGTGTGAGCATTTCTTCTATCAAGGCCTCAGTCTGCCCTGTCATCAGCACCTAAGTAGTGAGGGTTTAAATCCATTCAATTATCTGCAGTCCCTTCTCTCAGAAAGTGGACTCATTCTCCTCGGAGGAGAGGAAATAACCCTGGTGTCCAGCAGCCTTCTCAGTTATTAAAAATTGAAGAGTACAAATGTTCTGTAAGGAAATGACACGGTACAGAGAAGGTGCGGCTGAAATGTGTTTCAGCTCCTGGCTGAAGGCAGGAGCCTAAATTTGTTAAAGAAGCG